GGGGGGTGAGGAGAGGGAATTGGGAGGGGGGGAGGACAGGAAAGGGAAAGGGGAGGTGAAAGTTGAAGGGAAGAGGGAGAAAGAGGAAGGGAGGTGAAAGGGAAAGATAAAGGAAAGTGAGAATGAAGAGGAAAAGCAGAGAGGAAAGTGGGGAAGACAGGGAAAGTGAGAAGGAGAGGGAAAGGGAGGGGGGGTACTGTAGAACTCATCCTCCCCGCCCCCAACTCCACCCAGGGCCGCACTGAGGCAGAGGAGCCCCCCAGAGCTGCCCGACGCCCCCCAGCCCTCACCCCGACCCCCCCGCACTCACCACGCGCCCCAGACGCCCAAGGCGAGGCTCAGGGACTAGACCACGCAGAAAGGGGCTGAAGCGAGAAATAAGACGACGAGACGAGGGCAAGCGGGGCTTCAAAAGGAAATGAAAGCCGGAAGGGCGCAGCTAGAGGCTCCGCCCTCAGGGCTCGGCCCGCCCCCGGGCCTCTCCCTCCTTAGCGGCGGATGGGCTGGAGGGAAGCCCGGGCAGGAGCGGGGCGCAGGGCGGGGCCAGAGCCCCGCAGGGCGGGCAGCGCCGGGAAGGCCGCTGAAGGAGAGGATTCAAATTTCCACAGCTGGAAGCACGCAAACTTCACGTGTTGTTTTTGTTTTTGTTACTGTAACTGCCGGTGTAACCCCTTTCATTTTGGGAAATCCTCTTCCTAAGCAGGAGAAATTTTTGTAGCTAACCTAGTTGGTTGTAATACTTTTTGCTTGCGTGTTAAAAGCTACTTACAGATTTATAAATTTGCTTATCAAAAGTGCAACAGGTTTTTTTTTTTACTTCTACCAAACTTTTGTGTTGCTGACACACTAAACATAATGCTAGTGCCTCCTATTGATTATCTCCAATTTATATATGTGTATCATTTTTGGACATCTGTAAAATGAGCTGGAGAAGGAAATGGCAAACCACTCCAGGATCTTTGCCAAGAAAACCCCAAATGGAGTCACGAAAAGTCAGGACTGGAAAAGACTGAATAACAACAATAACGTATCTTTTTTTGGACATAGTTGTTTTCGTGTTGGTCTTCCCCATTAGGATGTGAGCTTCTTGAGAGCAGTGACTACTTTTTGCCTTTCTTTGTATCCCCAGTGCCTAGCACATAATAGATGTTTAATAGATACTTATTCGGTGACTGACCATCAAGCTTATTCTCCGGATATGTATTAATATCCAAGCTGACACACTTTCCATCCTGAGAAAACCACCACCTCTCAGTTTCACTGAGAGGTTTCACATCATCTTTAGTTTAGTTACTCAAGTCCATCACAGGTTTGCCCCCTCATGTACCTATGTCTGGAGACAATGAGGGTCACAGAGCAATTGTAAGTACAGAAAGAGCTGTCCTCAAACTAAGCTTGTGCACTCTGGACAATTAGTTCTCAGAAAAGATAGTTCACAAACTTGGGCAAATTAGCCCTAGGGGGAAAAAACATTTTTAAAAAATAATTTTATTATGAACTTGGCAATCTTCAACCAGCACAAATATTTTCACACTCCAAAAAAAGGACAGGAAAGAAGGACCACATATGAAACCATGAATCTACCAGAAACAGATTTTTTTTTTAAGCAGGTCAAATTTAACCGTTTGGTATCAACATTGTCCTTGTATATATCCCTTCTGAACTTCCTTCTGTTCTCTTCTGTGTATTTTTTTTTCCAATATATTGGCTGCTGGTATTTTTCTTTCTTTTCTTCTGTCTTTGCTTTATGAGAAAAGCGGAATTGCAGTAGCTCAAAAGCAACATGAAATGCACAAATTTAGAGACATCTCCACTTCAGATGTTCATATAGACTATTTGTGTCCAACCTGCGGTAGAGTTTTTCAAGCTGGCATTGGTCCGATCAGCCACAGTCGAACACACTGTACCTTGACCCCAACAGTGAGGTCATTTTAGTCCTCTTCAAGCACAACAATCATACCTTTGCTTCATTATCACTATTCCCCTCGAAACATTTTCCCTCCCCAAGTAAATGCTCTCCCTTGTAACAAGTAAAACAAATCCATGATGTATTGGTTGTTTCTAAAAATATATCTCAATACAGCCCTTCACCTTTCAACCAATGGAAGGGAAATGTTTCATCATCAGTCTTCTGGAGTCATGATTGCATTGGTCATACATTCATTAAGTCTTTAAATTTGTAGCCCAGTACAATACAGTCATTCTATCAATTGTTCTCCTGGTCCTGCTCACTTTACTCTATCACTTCTAGGTCTCCCCTGGTTTCTCTGAATTCATCTATTTTTGTTATTTCTTACAATAAAATAATATTGCATTACATCACATCCTTTAATTTGTTTAGCCAACCCTCAAATAATGAGTACCCTCTTTTTCCGTTACTTGCTACACTTTAAAAAAAAGACTGACCATTTTTGTAAGTGTGGAGAAAGGACCCCTTTCCCTCTGTCTTTGATCTCTTTAAAGGGGTATAAGACCAGTCCTGGTATGACTAGGTCAAAGGTTATGCACAATTTAGTGCCTTTAAGGGTATAATTCCAAATTACTTTCTAGAATGGTTGGATCAGCTTTGAAATATTTTGAAGAACACTTGAAGATTGAGAGACTTCCCTAATACATAGTCAGAAGCACAGTTGTTTGGGTTTTTTCCCCACCTTGTAAACAGGAGTGATGCAGTCTCAAATAGAATCCCTCATATTAAGACTGGTGCTTGTATCAGCAGAAACCTTACAGGCCCACAGGCTTGTGTACATCCAGAATGCAACCAAAGGTGCCAAGAGCTACATTCACACTCCAAATATGGATCTGAGATTTAGTCAACTGTAAAATTTATCTCTACAATAATTCATTCTTCAGTAAATCTTATCAGAATATGCATGAACTCTACTTTTGGTTTTGTGTCCACATTTTATTGGTATGGGAGTAATGATTACCACATATAAATACCACTCATAAATATTCATTTGGAGAGCATTAGCTAAGTGCTTGGGAATAGGTAGCAGAGCTCGCTTACCTTTCCAGCCTTCAGAATTAGCTTCAAGAAGCTGGAATACCTCTGCCTTTTAGAATCCCTGGCTTTACTGAAGACTCAGCCCAGGCACTCCTGCATGAAGCCCTTCCAGCTCCACCCTTACACCCCCAGCTGCTACTGCTTTCCTCTTGGCTTATGCCTCTGCCCCAGGAACCACTCACAGCTCTGATAAATAAGTTTTCTGCCTTTTTTTTTTTTTTAGCAAGCCTCTTTCCCTACCAACAATGAACCGTGCAGCCTACTCCCAATTTCAAATTCCTCTTTAAGTGTCATGTTCCTCCTGTAGAATGTAAGCAGCTTGAGGGCAGAGACTATTTTCCTTGCTTGTATTTGTATCCACAGTGCCTGAAATGTAATAGTGTCTACTAAATGATTTATATCTCTTTGTATCTCTAAGGTAGGAATTCTTAGCCGGACGGTGCAGGCATAAATTTCAGAGGTGCTGTGAACTTGAATGGGAAAAAAAAATAACATCTTTATTTTCTTTATTTAATTTCTAACTGAAATTAAATTCCATTATGAATTTCCTTCCATTATGAATTTTTTTAAAAACACATTATTCTGAAAAGGGGTTTATAAGCTTCATCAAATTGCCAAAGGGTCCATGACATAAAAAAGGTTAACCCCTGATCTAAAATTACCCCGTATCTATCTATACATATTCAG